AATATGGTGCTATATTTATAGGGTTGGGAACTGTCTATATATTTCCGATTGATTAAAATTGAAACAGTGGGAATGGATGTTCAGTTATTAGCCGAGCTTGGCAATTGTACTGCAAACGTTTCATCATCAATCCAGGTGACATTACTGGGTTACCGGGTGAGCGCTTACCAGTGTTCCTTTTCTTATATAGGTTGTTGAGAGATGCAGATCCGCGGAGTTGCCTGATTGGCCTATGAGAGCTTCAGTTATCACCATGTGATAAACTAAATCTTAAATATCAGCACTGGGTTTTTGTTGTCGAGTTGATCGTTGGAAAATAGAGATAACCAGTTTGAAACTCGGGGCAGGGAGTGGCCTTTTGAAATACTGTGTTGCATGCGGAAACTTCCTGCTCCGCCTGTTGTGAATTCACAGACTTACAAAACCCAGTAAACAGGAATTTCACCGTGGCGGTTTCGTAACTCGTGCACGTAGACAAACGATTTAGAAAATTAGGTTCTGAGCGTTCATGAAAGTTGCAATTCATTTGGTTTTGAACCTTATAATCACACTCCAAGCTTACGATACGTATCGATTCAGCTTAGCCACTTGTGAAAGATAGTAATCAAACTAAAATCATGAAATCACACAAGGTCTCTTCACAGATTGATCTATTCGAGTACTTTCATGACAAACCGCATTTCTTAGTGGACTATTACATCCACATGTGATTGAGTAGTCCCAATAAAGGATCAGGGGGGGGATATTTCATCAAAAATGATGAACGAGTATGAAACTTCGGTCGGATTAGTTGCATGTGTTCGCGCACGCACGTGAAAGTTCCAGTGATCTCAAGCTGTGAACATTCAGAACCGCTCGGTGATCACAGCAAATGTGCTGAAGTTAGCACACGTGTGTATGAACATTGGATTGAGACAGGTATGTTCTATCAACGCTTTTTTTTAACCTCACTTCGCGTTCTACCTACTTTTGATTATAAAGTAATCCTCATGCATCTAGAACCTCCTTTAACCAATGCAACTCCCACCCCGGACCGGTATGATGCGATCTGGTGTACAATCTGATTGGTACATCTCTCTCATGATTAGCACCGGAGAATTCTCCGGGAAGAAGGTGGACTCTATTCGGTGGTACAACCAAACCAGCGTGCCATCACAGCTATCAGTCTCGTAACTAAGTGAATGCACAATGCTCGATACCTCGGTCGATTGCAAGAACAGCATACAGATTGGACGAGAGAGCGAGATGAAATGTAAATACTGATGGATGAAGATCAAACAAACAGCTTCGCTTTGATACACCAGTGAGTCAAAGCATGATGATGGCAACAACGATTGTAAAAACGAGCGTTGCATAATATGTGTACACAGTGAGTAACTAAGGAAGTAAGTACGTGAGTGGTAAGTAGATAGGTGCGTGAGGAAATAAGCAAGTAATTTAATTCAATGAATTTGAAAGCGGTATTATTGAGTGCTTGCGGCCAACCAAGTAGTTCCTGTTTTGTATTTTAATTCCTATGATGAAGATATATACCATTTCAAGACGGATTTTAAACCTCAATGAATTCAAAGTATCCCCAATACATAAACGGAAACCACGCTACCGAACAACTCACAAAGGGGAGCTAAGCCGCGTACCGTTCATGCGTCACGGTGTGTCTGAAACAGCCATGGCATAATCGCTCTCATGCTCTCGACAAAAACCCAGGCAACCGCCACACCGTGAAAGAGGCTGTTCATATGGAAACCATCAATGATCAACAAACTATAGCTTTTTTGATGTTTCAGATCCAGATCGTCCCAGTGTTCAAATCCGATAAGGAATAGATGTTGATATCTATCGTCTTCAACCATTATTAGATTTTACTTTGTTCATTGGTAGATTTGGAGTTTGTATGTTGATTATGCAAAGTTCAGTAGCCTCGGTGGGATTCGAACCCACGCATGGACGCCACCTTCGATTGTGTACAGCGCACGCTCTACCAGCTGAGGCCACACCGATAGTAATTAGCATTTCACATTCGAATTACCAATCCAAATCTNCTGCGAAAGAACAATTTGAACAATTAGCCTTGCCTTAGAATCTCATGCGGTGGACTTCGATGAATTCTAAGGAAAAACTATCGGGGCAATCAGCTTACATGCTAACTGGTGGATGCCATATGTCTCTGTAAGTTAGTTATTCCGTGAACTGCACTGGAGTGAGGGGAGATTGAAGACTGCGGCATCAAAGAAACATGAACCTAAGATAGTTATTTCGAACCAAACAAGAGTTTCGGGATTGTAATTGCGCTCAGTGAACTTGATTTGTCCTTTTATTCCATCAACGAAGGTGGAAAACGGCCGAATCTGACCAACGCTTTGCCGATCAAAATAAGAGCATAATACAATGACCATTTCAGACCCAAAAAGACTATAAACCGTTCCTCTTTAAAGTGCTAACGTACCTATCTGTTTCTCCGAGTTTCCATTGGAAATATCAAGTTCTAACTGTATTCCAGCCACATTCAACTACACCATTTTTCGTCTTATTTCACAACTAACACGAAAATGATTCAGATTTCTATCAAAACGATTCACAGTTGTCATGCAATTGGTTGGTGGGACTGGTGTTCTGATTGCTTTGTCAACAAACGGGCAAAACTATTACCACACTTCTGTGTTCATCGACGCATTGTATATCTGTAGAGGACAATGACGAGAGAACACAATATGACCTCATTTTGTTACATGACCCGGGTAGAAAGCCTCTGTAGCTGTCTCCATCTCATAGCTTCCGATCATGTGGAATAGAGGGAAACTCATGGTACGGAAGATGATCTGTGATTCGATTCTTATTGCCATGATGCCGGATTGGCCAGGGAGAATACAAATTGACTCCAGGGCACACAGGGCAGACACGTGGAAGTGATAAGCAAACACATAGGTTGGTGTTGTTGCGACAATGTACAAACGCAAGCCTGAAATGCGGTATCGCTGTGTTGAATGTCTCAGTAGCTGGACTTTAAGCAAATTACCATTGTTACAACGACCAAAACATTTTGTCTTGGTCTGCAGGTGGTTCCAGCGATCGATAACGCCAACGAGGTCGTTAAGCAACATGTGACCAAAAATCAATACTAAATACTGAATGCCTCAAAAAATCTGTGTTCACACTCCGTTCGACAGACGGGTGTAACGAACCAAGCTGATTTATTCTGATGTAAAAAAATTGTATTGTCCATTTCGTACAGTAACGCATTATTATAAATGGAGGAGAGCGAACGACAATGAATACATGCGAATTAAAAAGGATTAAACTACGTCGACCACGGCCAGTTGTGATCACCCTCTAAACGGATCCTTTAGCTCTCGATCGATCGAATTACAGCTGGTTAAACCAGAAGACTTGTGGTTGCAGCAGACGTGAGAGGATGTAGCGGTATGTGCTCACGGAAATTTGCGCTAAAGATCTACGAGCATCAGATCGTGCAAACGAAACGAAAGTTCTCGCGTGCAATGACACCATGTCATAATTCGTTGTTATTGGAGCAACAATGTGTACACAAAGAGATTGTGGAAAACATTCGTATCATGAGAATGTCAGACTGTTGCAATCAGAACAGACAGCGCACTAACAGTTTCGATCATTGTAAAACCGATCCTCGAAGATCAACTAGAAGGGTACAACCTTTTAAGAAATCAACGTCTGCAGGCATTCCGTATAGGTGCCACAGTCATCATGGTGGTAGCCCAGTGGTCCAGTCGCTGTCACCGGCGTGCTTTGGATCCTATAGTCCGAGCCCCGCCATCGCCATCCAACTTTGGTGGTAGGCAGCTCTGCTGTCGTCCGGTTCAATAACACGCCTAACCTATCGTGGTCTTATATGGTTCGCCAATCCAAGTCCCGGGGCTTAGGTTACCGGTTTCCACCACTGAACAGTAGGTCCTCGTGACTATGAGGTTCGCCCCGTTTGCTGTTCATCACACTAAGGTGTGTAATAAAAAACGCTCTAATGAAATGATGATATTGAGGAAAACTACCGAGCTTAATACTGGTTGGAACACCAATTCATTATCCACACGGTACTCGCACCAAACGGAGCAATTGCGCAAAGATAGTGATAGTGATAGATCTTCAGTACGAATGGGTCCGGTTTTAGTGTTATACACTAACATTGCACGTACTGTGGCGCTGTGTACTCGACCTTAGATAGCAAGACGGATGTCAAGTCTGCGTAATATTTTCTTTCTCATTCCACTTTGCTTTACTTTCATTTATCGCAGATTACTCGGATAAAACCCAGGTAGCTTTTTTATTTTTGAACTACATCGGACAGTCCCATTGATCCATCCTCTCCAACCCCATTGTTAGATCTGCCCAAAACACTCGACGAGAAAATAACTGCGCAGTTCAGAATAATGACGTGCAATGCAGAGAGCAAAAAAATAAACGAAAAAAAATGACTGATTGTATGAGTGAATGAAACAGCCGAAATGACCAGATATTTGGCAGAATGGAATCCATGAGAGAGAGAGAAAAACTAGACAGCGACGAGGAAGGTGAGCGACAGAAACGGACAAACAACACTGGATACACAAACACACACAAGAATAGAAGAGCGCTAGAGTTCAATAACCCAGCACCATCAAAATGAAAATCCAGATGAGCTAGATCAAGTGGATAAACGTGACGAGGAGCACAGCGGAGAACGGAGTGGGTGTTTGGAGATGGCAAACAGTGCGTGAGGAGAGGGGTCTGGAGGGAAAAGTGGACGGTAAAAAGATAACCGCAACAGGAGGCGATAATGGAGAACTAATGCAAATAGACTGAAAGTTCCGGATAAAGTATTTCGGGGCCACGGTGCGAAGTAAAATAGATAGAGCGTCAGGGAAAATGAAGTGTGTACAGAAAGGAGAAACCAGAAAAGAGGAGCGAGGAGCCATTTGGTAGCTGCCTACCTCAACAGTGGATCTCGTGTTGAGGAGCAAGGATGACAACTGAGGATCAAGTGTCCTACATTATCCGCGACGTTTCCGACGACGTCTGCGCCGATGAGGGCCTCGTTTACGGGATGAGCATTTGGAAGACGAGACAGATTCGCTATTCTGCGTATGGTCTGGATTTTCACCGAGTGAATGATCCACCTCCGACTGATCCGCATTAATCGGTTTAGAAGGAATCACATCCGACTGAACAGCGTGCTGTGAAACATCCGTAGATGGAATCGTCGCGGACAATATTGAATTGGAATAACGTTTTGAGTGTTTGCGCATCCCGGAATGACAGCCCAACGATGAGCTGAGCATGCTCCAACAAGCAGATTTCAATTCCGCATCATTATCGCACTCCGATTCAGACAGGAAAAATGACATTTGATCGATCATGGCGAAGTGGGATGGTATCGGCATGGGCGTCGGACTAGTGTACCGTTCGAAGTCGGGACTAGGGGGATCGGTCGTGTTTGTGGTTGTTAGTCGACCATCCGGTTGGAGCATACAAGCATTTTGTGCATCCGAATCCGGAGTGCATAACTCGTGCAATGACCGCACGTAGCCAATCGCTTTAGCGTAACCAGCCCAAGTCAGGATGACGCGACGACCAACCTCCAGATATTCCGGATGACGGGTAAAGCGGATCAACAGGGTTCCCTCGTTCTGCGATGACTGTGATCGAACGAACAAAAAAGAGGGTAAATGTGAAGATAAAATGAGTAATGTATTTATCAGTAAAAAATAGTTATTAGGATAGCAATTGAATCGGGGTTAGTTACTTCCTGCGACATGTACTGTTCGGTGGATAAGGGAAAATAAAAGTAACCTGATCAGCTGATCGGAGGTCCATGTTGTGACGGTCCAGACAGAACCCGTCAAACAGCGCAAGTATCCGCGTCACACCACAAACACGTTCGCGACGAGAGTCGACGAGTCGATTACCGATTGATTGACTAAGACGATTCAGACAGCTGTTGTCCGATCGACCAATCGGAGTGTCAAAGACGCTATCTGATTCGTGCTTCATCACGTCGTTCTCGAACGTCCAGTTTACTCACTTATCTTTGCGTATTGCATCCTGACTGACTGTTGTTTTCCGGTCGTGTTCTTCCTCCCGTATTATTCTTAGGGGCTAGACAAGAGACGCTCGAGTCGGTCGTACGTCTAGGTAGAACAAAGCAATATGGTACGCAGTAAGATTACTTTCTACGGGTGAAGCGCTGTGGGATATAATCCACGACAGTCGTATCCATAGGCTGCCACTGTTCTTGATGTACCAAAAAGGTGGAAAGTAGTACAGGGACGATTTTTTGACTATTCACTTACTATCAGAGTTAATCTTTGCATCGAGAATTGCGAGTGTTCATTCGACTACGTCAGTCAGGAGGAACATGTTGATGATCAGGTAGGATATTGCGGAGAATACCGGAAGAACCTAAATGTATTCAAGCTAATTAGATAGATAAGAAGCGGAGCACAAATAATCTGTTCGACTATTCGTCTTTCGGAAGAGAAGCTACAAATTCAAGTCGAAACTTCGTCTAAGAATGGCATTCTAGGTGCGACAAAGTATAATGCAATTTACGGTTAGACCCAGTTTGAAGCTGTACCAAGACAAAGAATCGATCAAAGCGGATCCACTATTACAACAAATAGCAGCAAGCAAATAGAATTGACGAGACACAAACAACCAATCAAAACCTCCGAACAGAACTATGTAACCGCGGTCACACTGAAGACTGGCGCTGCCCTAAGTCGCACTGATGATGGTGCCTAAGCCGGGTAAGAAAAGTCTGTAAACAACACTTCCAGCTTGGAGAACCCTCCAAAACCAGCATTCTTTTTATTTTTATTGGGACAAGTGTCACACGCAAATGATGCACGACGCATGAGAGTCAGGACTGCTATACTACCAGGCCGAGAATGCAATGACTTTACTTTAAATCTTCTTCAAATTACGGAACATATACTGTTCTTGTAGACGCCCCCTATCATCCTATTCTTCTTTACCAAAAGAGCGGTCTTCCACTAAACCGACGGCATCGTACACAGATAACGTTTGACTGGACAGTGGGCCAGAAGAGATTATCTCTCTATAGCGATCTTTATGCCACGTGCGAGTTTACGGTTCATTCTCTCGACTTACCGATGTACTGTGATGATCACCAGAACTATTTCTCCTTTTATTTTCAACTTTATCATAGAAACTGGTTTGGAAATGGCTCCATCCCCGAGTCACCATTACGTTGTCGACATTCTTCCTAGTGCCACGCTTTCCGATCTGAGTTGGGTAATGTTGCACTGTTGCGTGAGGAATCAGGTAAGTTGTTAGTTTTTCTGGCTGGTACATGCGGCATGAGTTTGGCACATTACACGTGTAAATGCTGTCACAGGATAGGCTGATTTAATTGAGTAATTTATTTATTAGTTTTTATTATTTTACAATTAATAATTTATTTAACTAATATAGAGCAGACAAAAGAGAAAGTAGACAAGATGTGCTATTTGAGCAGTTACCTATTTCTTGACAGTGAATTACGCATGACCCTGCGACACACAAAATAAAAGGATCGACTGACGGTTGCCAAATTCAGACACTTTTGACGGTGAACAAATTTAATAATCCGTGTAGGGTAGTGTTCACTGCATCCGAACGGCTGGTTCTGCTGATTGGTGCAGAGAAAGATAAAGAAAGACTATCAGTGCTCGAACATTGTGAGCAATACGGCATTGAATGAGTTTGTCGGGAAAACGGAACGTGTTGTACCGAGGTGAGACAGAAACTGTTAGATGAAGGTGGTCATGAGCTGAAGCAATTCCTTGCCCTCCATAGATCAAGGTGGCTGAGGCATGAGGTTTGGATGTTACCGGACAGGTTTCTTCTGTCCACGGGCTTCGAATACCATTTTCGAGCAGTTGATATTAGGAATATTTGTTGGTAGGAATTTGAAATCAAATGGCGTCAGATTTCCTCAGGGACAAGGATGACAGTGACTTGTATCCTGCTATCTGGAATGATGCGAATGCGTAGAGGCAGCTCTCGAACTAGGCACTTGATAAACAAATCATAGTATCGAGGTGAAATTAACTTCGGGAGTGCTGGTATAAGAATGGCTTGACAAGGAAATACGGGATAGGTATGAAGGATGAGCAGAGAGGACAGTAAAGCTGGTGTGCTTCAGACACACACACAGGGAAAATGGAAACAGACCTGATTTTTCTCGCCACCTTTTTGAGCCTCCGGCTCCGGAGTGTTCTGTATAACATCCTCGGCCTCGACAACCACGGCGGCTTGCGCTACACAACCCGCATACACATTGACACGCTGATTTTGCACCGGCAGTGGAGGTTGCATGGGCGCAGACGCGTTCGAATGGGTGAATACGGACAAACGAAAACGCACTTCCAAACGGAATGTCCATGCCACAGCAATCAGGCGATCGGAGTTTGCCATGTGGGTCAATTTACACGGGATATCCAGGGAATTGATCGGTGCGTCCGACCAAGAGGCATGGGAAATCAGCATCATTCCACGTCGAATCATGGTGGATAGGTGCGATTGCTTGTGGTTATTAGACAATTGGTTGTGATTCGGTGAGTTTTCATCGTTCTCCAGTAGGAATAGATTGTCTGCTTTCGGACGCGTGTTTGGGGATGGTGAACCGGGCACGGATGAGGCCTGGAATCGGATAGCCACAGAAGCTGTCTGACCAGCATAGACTACCTGGTGCGGTTGTCGGTTGTGCTTCAGACTAGCGATCCGTACCAGATGAAAATAACCCTCCTGTATAGGGATTAGAGTTATACAACACATGCCAGAGATTGGAAATACCACGACCAACTAAACACACCACTCAGAATTCATTTATCCTAAACGGATGGAAATCGATAAAATCTAGGGTGATCAGTGACACGACAGCTTGTTGCTCCTAGTTGCCCACCCATGATACGACCATATGAGGATGGTAAGATTAGTTCACTGATAATCATCTACATAAGTTCAATGATGAGTGACGGTTTGTTCTAGCTAAATGCGTTTGATATAAACTGAATATGAATCAAGCAATCAATAGAAGTATAAAAAAGTACAACAAAAATATCTGCGAAACTGAAACCACAATTTTACTAATTTGCCGCTCATTGTTTGATAATATTCGCAAAGTAGAGTGTGAAGTACGATACTACAAACAACTCACGAATCACAAACAAGCCAATAGGCATGCATTTTCGCGCTCATATCTCACTCATTGGAACGAAACTCCGCAAAAGGAACTGCGCACGCGCAGAGTCAGCTGAGATGGACTTGAAGCCGAGAACAACAATCACATCATGTCACTCCTATTCACTGACAGAAGGCAGAGACAGCCGAATGACCTTATCAATCGGAGTTTATGCGTTATTTTGTGGACAACACCGTTAGCATGAGGTCCGAAAAATAACTGCACAACGAAACTTCGTTTTAAATCAGTGTCTTGTGAGAGAAACATTGTCACATTGTCCGTATACAGTGAAGGACTTGGAAAAGAATACCGATTGAAACGTCAGTAAGGTGTGTGTGTGTGTGTGAAAGCATCCCAAGAAACAATTTTTGGTGACAGTGATCGGATTCGAGCATTAAACATTAGTGACCTGTGCTGCCAGATGTCATAAATTAAACTGTTTGATCGCATCCACACAAATTTGTAGACAACGATGATAATCACCCTATCAAGCGAAAAGAACGACGAACTAGTGCGTTTTTTTTATTGCCCACCTAGGTGTGATGAACAGCAGACGGGGTAAACCCCATAGTCACGAGGACCTGCTGTTCAGTGATAGATTCGTATTCTTCATATATGCCTTTTGTACATTAATTTATCTGAGTATCTACATAGTCAACGCGTCCGGGTGCCATTGTAAACTGCATCTGTATACCTTTAGACTGTCCCGTTGACCTCACCACAGCTGCCAGCCCTACGGACTGATCAATCCCCAGAGTGATGTCTAGACGATCACCATTCAACAGTTTTCTCAATTTCGGGTTCAAGTGCGTGGGGCGAGAGTCAGTGTTGCAGCCTACCTCAGCTATACACCCCTATTCTCATTGCATACATATAGCACGTCCGTTTTTGCCTGTTTTGTACGAGGATGAGCGTGTTTGTCGCTCTCCTTAACAATCATTAACTGCCGATACCGATGTATTATGCTCGATCGAGATACACCTTATTGTTGTTATCCACATTCACATCCAGTTTGTGTGCTATTTGCATATTAGGTTCTATTTCTCTATTACCACCATGTCCTTGTACAGCATTTCCACAATACCGTTTGCCACAAAAACGAAAATTTCTCCGAAGGGAATGCGACCATTCATGACAACCTTATTGTCCGTAATACACATAATGTTCCCATTCATCACCATGTATGACAATTGCAATTTATCCCTTCGAATTCAAGGTTTCCGAAATCGAATGTAATGCCATTCGTGCTGCAACAGACCTTCAACTTAAATCGTAGCGTTTCTAGAGATCCCGTGCAATCTTCTTTGATCCACTCCACCAGCTGATCGACTTCAGCCTCACACAAACTGCGTCTCCTAGCTCCTTCGTGAATTTCAGCTACATGATCTGTCTCTCAGTCAAACAACTAACGGTGAGCTTTACGCCGATGCACACACACAAGCGGTAGCATATGCAGATAAGTGTCTTTTGAAAACCATCCCAATAATTGAACATCACCTGTTATAAAAATAACGCGTTTGTAATCCGATTTATGGTCTACTTCGTCAACTTCTTTTAAGCTATTTCAAACCCAGTTAACTTGATAGATGCACCTTATTCCGCTCCGAACATATAGTCAAAATGATCACTTTGATTGATCGGTACTTGAAGGGTGAAAATTCTGCTCGTGCTTTCATGGTGGTAACAGATAAATGGAAAATAATATGCGAACAGCCCACAAGATAGATGTGAATGTGGATAACAATGAGGTGTATATCGATCGAGCATAACACATCGGTATCGGCAGTTAATGATTGTTAAGGAGAGTGATACACACACACACACGACTACTAGTATAAGCTAGGTAAAAACGGACGAGCTATATGTATGCAATGAGAATAGGGATGTAAGGCTGAGGTAGGCTGCGACACTGACTCCCACTCCACGCTCTCCCTCACATTTGAACACGAAGTTGAGAAAACTGTTGAATAGTGATCGTTTAGACATCACTCCGGGGATCGAACAGTCCGTGGGGAGGTCAGCGGGCAGCTTGAAATGATGGCGGGACAAGTTGATGTGACCCTCATTTAATACCAGGACAAGATGATTTGCAAATGGTATAGAACCCATCCGCGCGATTAAACCAGTAAGGAAAAACAAGTGATTCAGGTAGCAAGATGAAAGTTACCAGTCGTACTCTGCTTTAATTTGCTTTTTCGTAAGCTATTTCGTTCACATAAATTTTAATTATCTTACGCATTATTTCTCACAAGACTGTAGGATAGCAGGGGTCAAGGAGTTGATTGATTCTCTCCGTTTAGAGCGTGATTGCGCCCATCCCGGATACACGCATGCACGCTCCAGGCATCCTTGTACAGTGCGACTGTCCCAAAGATCAATCACGGAACGGATCACCTGTATGCAGTCGATTTGTGTGTGCGTGTGCTGGTTACAACTACCATAAGAATTACTTGTAATCTCACCTAATTAGGTGGGCACGGACTTTCTTCATTTGACCGAGTTGTGCCAGAATGACGGGGAAGCTATTTCCATTATTGCATCTGGCTTATCCGAGACTGGTGTGCACTAAGCGAATGCTTGAACTCGGCGTAGACCGGGTTTATGTAAGGCTGAAAGTGCCGTGGGTCGGCTAGGATGTCCACCAAGGTACACGATATCCTTTCAGCTTTTGGTACGGTAACGAATAGTATGAGGCAATAGTAAACCGCCTTACCACAAGCATGCGCTTGTTTCCCTTATGAAGACTAGAACTCAAAGCTCGGCAATCTTAATGGGCTCCATTCGGATGGGTTGGTGTCTACGAAGCTGTTTACCACCAAAGTCCGTTGGTGAGGAACGGGTTAAAGTTTAAGCACTTGAGCCTGGTGCCAGCCACTGACTGATGACGATTCAGATCACTAACTCGCCGGTACCCTTCTTTAGAATCACAAAAAATTGCGCGAACTGGTCACTGATAGCGTCCAGTACTGAAAAATATGGACCAATTTCGAAAGATGACCCTGACTGAAAGTATCTTGCACCTACCTTGAGTAACTCTGGAAACTGTATCCTAAATCGGTTAATGTGACAGCTTAAAACAGCGAAAACGGAAATGTAAATTACTTTTGTAAGACAAGTGTGAATGATTCGCTCTAACGAGCACAATTTTTAAGCTATTTCGAATCAGTCCAGTGTGGTGAGATTTGCATGTTTCCACAGTGAAGAAAACCCTACTCATGCGAAAATTTATCACCCGCAGCAATTCGCACATGGCCACACAAGTAACTCCATATGACTGTTACAGAGGAAGTGAGTTGAAGTAGCAGGTCTTAAAGCTTGCGGATTATACAATGTGAAAACACTTATTTAGGTCATCGAAAACACCGCATCAGTGATGCAACCGCTACGATGTGGTTTCTCTATTGGGGTTAAAACACATTGTGTTCTCATGGTGATACTTTTGTATCGAACTGTAAAGTAATAGTGACCGACGGACGGACTTACTGTATCAGGGCCAAGAAAGGCTAAATGGGTATCCATGAGTTGGCCTGATTGTAAAGTGCCGAACACCACTGGGTCGCGCACACCTGGTACATTGGGAAATACCTCGCAGATCCCGAAACACATGGTCGGTTGCATCACACTAATGTCAGAAAGTTTCAATGACTGAAGCGCTGCCGCTCTTAAGAATTTTTCCTCGATCCATTGACCGTTCTTCATTCCGATCGGATAATCAACAGTGCCCATGTTATTGGTTCCCTCGTCAATGCACAATGATCGGGAGGCAGGTCGATTTGACATGCATGATGCGCGAGCTAATCGATTTAGGAACCCAATCAGATCGTTCATTCCTTCCCCAGTTACTGCGGAGACTGAGAAAAACGGGTATGTGTCCTCGAAAGGGTCACTGAAAGAAGAGTAACGGAGGAAAATAGTAGACAGTGTATTGACCGCTAGGAATGAGGGAAATCAATAGTTCTATTCCAGTTCAATAGTATGTTAGATAACTATCCATACATGACTGTTTATGTTAATATGGATTACATAACCGCTGAAACGCTTACCATGAATGCGGAATAATGAGGTCTCTTACCAGATGAATAAAGTGGACACATACAAGGAGATGGATGCATTTATTTAGAGGATGGGTGATACATCGTCCTTGCCCCCCCATCCTGATAAATGCTTCTTTATTACACTCCACATAAACAATAGATTTCCCAGAAGGAGGCTGCAGTCAAGCTAAGGTTGCCCGGAGAAACAAAAATGAGCAGGTGTAGTGGGATTTGAACTCATAACCTCCGAGTCGTCGGAACGGCGACCTCGAACGCCGCCACGTTTGTGCGACGAACATTTGAAGGAGTGAACCCTACAGTCGGAGGGGGCTAGTGTTCAGTCACAATAACTGCCCAAGTCTGGTGGGAACATCGGGTGAGCAATGAAAAATTTCGTCGTCGTTTGTTAGGTGCAGATATTCTTTATCTAAAAGAAGTAATCGCTCTACACCGCCCCCGATGGATTGGTCACGTTTTGCGGATGCCTGCCCACCGTCCACCTTTTTGTGCTATATTTGTACGTGCTGGGCGAGGTGGGAAGAAACGTCGCGGTGGTCAGGCTACTACATGGCGCAGGGGTATGAAGAAGCTAGCTTCAGCTTTCGCTTTGGTTGGTGCTACCTAGCTTCCAGGTTGAAGCCTAAGCGATGAGGATTGCCGTTAGTTAGAGACACTAGGAGATATCGCCCAGAACAGAAGTCAGTGGCGCAAATTGCGTGCGGTCCGCCTGTTGAAATCCCGGGTCCTATCAAACAGCGATAAAACAAAACACAAAAATACTAAAAAGTGCACGGTGAAACAAAAAGTTGTTATTCTTGTTATTCAGTTATTCATTGATACCTTTTAACCTCCATTTCACTCTGTTAGGTATCCCAATCTCCCCTTCCCTTGTTTTATTATTATTATTATTATTGGGTTGACACCATGCTTGGTCGCAAGCCGGTGATATATAATATATATATATATATATACATATATTTCAAATGACAGTTCGTCATGGGCAGAACGCAAGCGTGCTACCCACTACGCCACCGGGCAGCTGATCAGACCGTTTTTTCATTTCCCATTTTACCGTGCTACCCACTACGCCACCGAGCAGCTGATCAGACCGTTTCTCATTTCCCATTTACAAGCGTGCTACCGACTACGCCACCGGGCAGCTGATCAGACCGTTTTTCATTTTCCATTTACACGATATAGCACAACCATCTTTAAGAGTTTTTTGCGGGCCACGGACCCTGCTCAACTCAGCACTAGCCTCCAGGGTTATGACTCGGTTGGAAACATTCACAACCTGACTGATTATTTCATGTGGGTAATGGAGGATTTGGTTAAATTTCAAATGACAATTCGTCGCGTATATAGCAAATGAAGCGTGAA